CAGTCCTGGTCAGCAAAAGTCCATTAAGGGTTACCAGAGATAACAACATATCTATTTTAACATTGATTAAATAAACCAATTTTATATTCCTTCCTTTTACTTTTAACAATCTTGATGTTTAATCCCTTCAAATAATGTCCTGGAATTTGATTTCTTCTCATTTTTTCTTTGTGCCTTCTCACAAAATCCTTCAAAACTTTAACAGGTCTCTTTTGTAAATCCAATATAAAAAAGTTATCTGAGTCACTCTATTGGTTTTTTATTTGTATATCCCTTTTAATTATTAAGACATCAGCCAGTTTCATTTGTATATTTGGTGTAGCATCTTTTTCCATATCATTCTTATAGCCTGTCATTTTTAAATCCACTTTCAAATTAGTCTCAGTCTTGTCCAGTAAAACTAGTTCCTCTTCCATAACATCTTTTAAACACAGTCTGTCTATAATACATCAGCCCGCCCCATCAGATCTCGCAGACAAAGTATGCTGCAGGTACCAGTGGCTAGGGACCTGCATTTGATGGGTCCCAGGAGATGTGCCTTCTCTGCTATGGTGCCCGCCTTATGGAACATTCTTCCTCCCAAGACTAGATTAGCATATCCCTTTTGCTATTCTGAAAGGCCCTCAAGACCTGGTTATGTGATCAAGCCTGGGGCTCCCAGGAAACTGGAGGCCTGCTTAGATGGTTCCATTACTGAGGGGGCCATTTTTATTCTCCCTTCCCCTATGGTTTGTATTTTTGGTTTTTTATGGGATTTATTAATGTGGTTTTTTATATTTTTCTCTTGTTTTATATCTGTCTTTTTATCTAATTGTTGTACGCTGCCCAGAGTTGCTTCGGTGAGATGGGCAGCTATGTACATTTGTTAAATAAACAAATGGCAGACACTCTTAAAATTAATTTCTGAGTCCATTATTCACAAATATCCTTCAGTAAATCCAATGTTAAAGTATTTTGCTCCATTCTGTATTAGTAAGTCAAATTTAAGTATTCTTCTCCTTTAATTGTAATCTTCAGTCCTTCTGCTTCCCTCTAGTGCCCAACCTTCAAAGTTGCATCCTATCTTTTTTTTTTTTAAGCATTCAAAAAAACAGCATTTTCCTATGGGAAGGATGCTTATAACTAATTTCAAAATCTTATTTCAAATCCATCTAGACCCTTAGTCTGTTTGTAACTTTCCAAAATCGACGTTCTAATCACCCTTTTGCTCTTTATTCCAAAAAAAGAATTTTTTAAAATTTGTGTTTAAAACTTATTTTGCTGAGGATTGAAGGAAACTTACCCGGTGAGTGCCTATCAATCTGAAGGTTCCTAATAGTTGAAAAGCAGTTAAGGAGTAATTTCCAAAGGTGTTTCAGAAATGAGGCTTGGCGAACTGTGAGCTCGACTGAAATCCCTCGACTCCCAGCCATTCAAATCACCACAAAACCCTCGGTTCCTGCAGTCTACTCACAGGGAGCAGCTGTCCGGAGTACATGTGGGTGATCTCATCTCTTCTTTTTCTGGAGAGACTTTGCCAGCCAGAATTCACTGTCTGGCTGCCAGTCTCTGCCACAGTGCCATCCCCACTCCTTCAGGGATGTTTAATTTGCCGTGAATTGTCACCGGAAGTCAGCCAGAAGCAATTTTGTGCCATCTGGTTCTGGGAAACACATCAGAATTGTTGGTTAATTTTGTCACTTTGATCATTCTGCCTTTGGGCTATCATGGAACTCAAAGCGGGCTGCTCTGGGTTCCACGCCAGGGGTTGATAGCGATCTGTTAAACCCGAGCAAGGCGGCTGTGACATGATGCCGCAAACATTGCGGAGTCACAAAGGGGGTCATTCTTAGGAGAAAGGGCCTCCTGACAATTCCAGGGCATTGCAGCTTCCATCGGGCATTGCAGCCAGCCCGGCCAAAGGTCAGTGGTGATGGGAGTTTACTTCGACAGGAGAGTTACAGGTCCAGAGCCCCCCTCCCCCACTGCACTGCAGGGTCCTAAAGCAAAGTATTCTTTAGGGCTGTCACCGGTTCAGAAGGTTATTTCCGCAGAGAAGAAGCCTGTGCTCTTTCAAGTAATTGGTCGCATGTTCATTTTGAAAAAAATAAACAGGTGGATTAAATCATTTCAATAAAGCTTTTACTGTTACTTTGACTCAGTATCTTATCTTGGGTGGAAAAAAAGAGAGCAGAGGCAAAGTTCCCCCACATTGTTCTCCAAGAGACTTATTTCTAAAGTTATAAAACTTTTTGTTTGTTTCCAGGAACATTCAGACATTGTTTCCTGGATATGTAGTAACTAGCATACGTAGCATCTATTTCTAGAACACTTGAAAGCTCAAGAGAATTTTTCCTTTTGTTTTTTCTTTCACTGCAACTTAAAACGGTGTGCCAAAGAGGATTTTCCACACCCGCTTGTCTCTTTTGTATTTGCAACGGTCCTGTGTGTGCATCTTTGCTAGCTGCCAGAATTACATGATACAAATTGCGCGGTTGCTCTGTTTAACAGACTCTCAGCTGATTCAGGGGACGCCTTCCAGTCAGATTACAATGAATTAGCAGGAGAAAGTGCCCTCTCTGCGGCCAAGCCAGTAGAAGCAGTGGGCCGGGCCCTGAGTTTTGACTGCCTGCTAGAGCAAAGGCACGCGTGGACTCATATCCTCTCTCTTCTTTCCAGCTTACCATGAACCTGCTGTCTGGCCGCTGAACCCAGCGTTCCCCGTTGCCATGACAACAGGTGATTGCTGCCACCTCCCTGGCTCGCTGTGTGACTGCCCTGGCAGTGCCACATTGTCCAAGTCAGTGGAAGATTCCGATCTCGGGCGCCCACAGTATGTCACCCAAGTCACCGCCAAGGACGGGCGTCTGCTCTCTACAGTGATCAAAGCCCTGGGCACCCAGAGGTGAGGCCGATTTAATCCTTGGCTAAAGGTGAGGGTGCCAGCCAGAGAGCAGAGCAATGAACAGGAGTTGGATCGGCATCTCTGATAGTGTGACTGTGAACGCATGCTGTTTGACTTGGAAGAACTGTGAGGACTGAGGCACTGATCCCATACAAAGCTAAAGTTAAAGCTAATATCTAAATAAATAAATAAAGGTATAGCTAATTTTAGGTTGCATTGCACCCGTTATGAGTCACGTCTCTCAGCCTCCCATGTGTTTAATGTCAAGAAATGCCCGCTTGGGAGCAAGGAACGGGAAAGTTCAGGCAGATCCTCAAGGCTGAGAGCCACTTCTGATGGACAAGCCCCACATGGTCAGAATGCGGTAGAGAGGCCTTCCAAAGGTCCAAGTCGTAGGGCAGACATGTCTGGGTGAGAAAGTCAAGCCACGTCTTGCTTAAAATGGTATTGTGCAAGGAGGAGGTGAGCATCCGGTACTGATGAATTCTAGACAGCTTGCCTGAAAAAGGCCAGGTGTCAGGAGGTGCTGCTGCAGCCCCCACCATTTGGGAGGGCGCCAGTGGCCGCTTGGGAAAGAGACCCTGAAGAAGAGATGTCAGAAAGTTGCCATGCCAAGGAGCATGCTGGCTGGGGAATTCTGGGAGTTGGAGTGGCTGAGGTTGAGAAACACTGCTTTAGAGCAAATTGTTGCCTATTTCCCTTTTCAGCCAAATCTAACCCCCCTCCCTCCTTTCTGAAGTGCCATGGATAGGAGTTGGCTTCTGTTCCCTTCTCAGAATTATTTTCCTTGGCGAGATGTAGATTGCATTGACTCCACTTTTAGAAAATGAAAGACCAAGTGGCCCATCAGCCACAGACATGGCATTCCTTCTGCCCCGCTGTGTTCAGTCATGTGGCCCAGTTGCTGGCCATGTCCGGATGTTATGGTCAACCAGCATTGTGAAGAGCCCTAGCTTAACCTCAAAAGGAAGGTGTTGGTGTGAACTGTCTGAATGCCCTGACTTAAATGCCCTGAGCAGCTCAGTCCATTGTTAGTTTAACATTGTGCACCAACTGGAATTTGGCTTGTTTCTCTCAGAGTGAGCCAGAGTGTGGCTTTCGGGATCACAGCGCAGGGTGAGAATTCCTTCAGCAGGGTTGTGACGCTCTTCCCAAAATGGATGGGAGTGCTCCCCTCTCCTCCCTGTGCCTGGAGTTTCTGGTGGTAATTTTGGTCCCTGTATGCCCCTTTCCTCTAGTGACGGTCCAATCTGTCGAATCTGCCACGAAGGTGGCAACGGGGAGGGCTTGCTTTCACCCTGCGACTGCACAGGCACGTTGGGGACCGTCCACAAAAGCTGCCTGGAAAAGTGGCTGTCCTCCTCCAACACCAGCTACTGCGAACTTTGCCACACCGAGTTTGTCGTGGAAAGGCGGCCCAGGCCTCTGACAGAGGTGGGTATGTCTCCTTGGCTCCTAGCTGAGAGGGAAGGTCGGGGGGCCAGCTGCAAGGAGAGGGTGATCTTGATCCCTTTGGGACTGACTGAGGAGCAGGATGTGGGATGGCGACTGCCTTCTTGTCTCTGGGGATGAGGAGGAATAAACAGGACTCTGTTGGCTTCTGACACGATCAGTCACAATATCCTTCTGGATTGCCTGAAATATTTCAGGTGCCATTTCCATCTCTCAGACTGATTTTGGATATGTGGGAACAGCCTTGTGCAGGAAAAAAATTGGCAAGAGGAACCAGCTGAGGTTGCAAAGTCTTGCTTGCTCCCATCCCCCCGCCCCCATTGCAGATCTTCCCCTGCCTGACGTTCCCCTTCCTCTTTGTCCTCCCGCTGCAGTGGCTCAGGCACCCTGGACCGCGCAACGAGAAGCGGACGCTGTTCTGTGACATGGCGTGCTTCCTCTTCATCACCCCCCTGGCGGCCATCTCAGGTTGGCTGTGCCTCCGGGGCGCCCAGGATCATATGCAGTTCAACAGCCACCTGGAGGCCATCGGCCTCATTGCCCTGACCATCGCCCTTTTCACCATCTACGTCCTCTGGACGCTGGTCAGTGCTCATCGGCTCTGCTTGCCTGCGTGTTGTTCCGTTGTGGTCAGTTGTGCCCCTTGGGAAGGGCCTCTGCTCGCCTGCAGTTCCCAGAGTTTCCGGGCAGGGCTCCTGCTGTTGGGAGCCTTAAAGAGCTGCTGCTGCTTGGCGTGTCTGCCTGTACCGGGTGGACACCCTCTTTTGGCTGGGGGCAGGCACGCTTCCCTTTCTTGCCCTCGGTGGGGCCATAAGGGCCATGGTGGGGAGCTGATGATGTCCCCAGAGTGGAGAGAGTTGAGATCTTCTGCCAGGGTTTTTACATTAAGGGGGAGCACGATTGCCCTGGTTTCTGTGTACCAGAAGAGGGATCGAAGGAGTAACGGGGAAAATGGCAGCAAACTGGGAAGCTGCCTGAATCTCTAGGGAGCAAAGGGTCCTCGTCTGTATCGGTGGGACCACATAGAGGTAGCAGAACGAGAGGGCACAGGTTGAGAATTTGCATCCTTTCCAGCAAGGAGATTCTGGCCCCAAATCCTTTTAATCTCCCCCTCCCCTTTCTGGCCTGGGGCCTGCTCCGCCGCTCACAATACGACTGGCTTCTGCAGCCATGCAGGTTTTGTATTCAGTAATAGGGAAACCAGGAACCCAACAGCGTTTGAATTGTCCCTCCTGGGAGGAATGGCCTTTAGGATGTGGGGTTCCCTTGCAAGTAGGTTCAGGGGGACAAGACTCAGACTGGTCGTGAGCGCTGATTCTCCTTTCGTAGAACTTTTCTTGAAACGCTCTTGCCAGATTTATAAACCCCAATTCTTTACTCATCCATTCATCCCTAATTGTAATGCAGAGCACACCTTTATGCTTAGGGCTGCCTGCCAAAGAAAGCGCCACAGGCACCAAACCATGCAAGGACAGCAACGTTCCACGGCCAGTGCCAATTTCTCCACAGCCAAGAATGTTAAAACAGCAAACCTACTTAGCAAGGAACCCCTTGCCTTGTCCCCAGGCCAAAGATGGCTTCAGGCGGTTTGCTTGTGGCTCAGAAGGTTTTAAGCTTGAAATGCCATGCGTGCCCCTCTGTGATTCTGGCATGAGTTCTTCATGCTGGATGCGCAGACGTTGCTTCTGACACAGGCTCACTTCAGCTCCCCTCATTACAGTCTCAGCACCCATTTTCTAAAATCATTACACATAACTTAGGCTTGTCCTCTCCTTTGTATCATTTTCATAACATATCATTTTAATGCATAATCAGGAGCCACAGGTGGGCTTCTGGGAAGTCCAGTGCAGTGCCTTTCCTGACTTCGGCTCTCTGCTTTCTAAGGACAAAGGACCAGCTGAGCCAGTGTTTTCTTTCTCCCACCATTGATTTTTTCCCCCCCAAATCTGACTGGCTTTAGGGCAATGGTTTATGGGGAAGTCTCATAGTCTGAGATGCTTGAGATGCAGAAGGTTTTCTGAATCATTCCAAAGGGTCCCTGGTCTAAAGTAGCAGACCAGCCAGGAGGCGATGGGACAGAATAGAAAAGGGACTCCCTGTGCTTGAGGCCCCATAGCGCCAAGGTCAGGAGCAATAGGGCAGCTTCCCTAACCCAGAGTCATTTGCAAGGGTGGGGCTGTAATACCGCCTTCCTCTGCCAGCAGGGATTTTCTCCAGACTGGGGAAAGCGGAGGTAGGCAATCTGTTCCTGCTCTTTCCAGGAGGCACCCATTCGGCACCTGGGGGCCCTCGCTCAAGCTCTGGATGCCTTCTCTGGAGTAGTGCTCACCACCACCCCCTTTGTGCTTTAGGAAGGGGAATTCAGACCTTCCCTTTCAGTCCAGGCTTTGAGTGATGTTATATTGCATTTTAACATTTGGGGGGCTCTATAATTAGAAAGGTGGGATGGTCATCATCATCATCATAAAATGGTATGTTGTTTTAGTTATTGCGCACAAAGTCAGAGATCTGGGATGCAAAAGCAGTCGGAAGCCCGTCCCCTGCCCTACCCCCTCCCCTCCCTGATCTTGTGCTTCCTTCTCTCTGCCCGCCACCTGGCCAGGTGTCGTTCCGCTACCACTGCCAGCTCTATTCCGAGTGGCGAAGGACCAATCAGAAAGTCCGGCTGATGATTCCTGATGCGAGGAACCCGTCCCCTGTCCCGCACTCCCTGCTCTCCGCCAAGCTGTTGAAGAAGAAGGCCGATGAGACTACCGTATGAGCCAGGATAGCACTTTTCCCAAGTAGCAGAAGCGAGGAGGAGGAGGAAGAGGAGGACTGGTCAGAACCATCAGCCCAGCCGGAAGGGAGCTCGCCATCTGTTCAGTCAAGCCCCAGAAAGACAACCGATTCCCGGGTGTGTGCAATGACCTTGGGACGCGGCGTGCCGAGGGTGTCTGTCGGCCATGCTCCGTCCTCAAGGCACAGTGGGGAGAATAATACCTCTCCCTTGATCCATGTAACTATCTTATATTATAGTATCCTAATTATTGTTGTAATTATAATTTTATGACTGTTCTTAGTTTCAGCTGTTGTATTCAGGGCCCTTATCTCCTCCTGGACATCACTGTGAAAGGTGCGGGGGAAAGTGGCTGGTTGGAGCTCGCTTCAAGTGGCTTCCTGCCAGCTCTGCTTCAGAGACCTGTTGCTGCGAGGAGGGCAGCCTTTGCCCCGGGCATGGGAAAGCCTGCGAGTTTCCTCCGGTGGAGAAAGTAGTGGCAGTCGGAGGGGCGGGAGTCCCGTCCCTCCTCCATCCCAAGGGTCCAGCCTGGGAAAAGAAGGAGGCCTTGCTCAGAGACTTCTCAAATTGATGAGCGTGCAAAAAGCCACATGCAAATCTGCCTGTCATGTTGTCATACTTTGGGAGTGAATTGTTGCTCTTGAAGAAGAGTGATGTTGGTTCCCCTTTCACCTCTCCTACTGCTGGCTCTCTCAGCTCCTTTCATACTTTTGCACTATATAGGTGGGGGGGGTCTTTTCCCCCTTGTTTCCCAGTGATGTTGCTCTCCCTGTCTAGAGGGCCCTGTGCTTTTGAGAATGGATTAAAATATAAATATCCCAGGAGGAGTAAAAACAAAAACAAAAAAAATGAACTGCCAGTGAACTGGAGGGTGTGTTTTTTAATAAACGCTGTAACCATCCGGCTTACAGAAATAACAGCAATTGGATGTTTTAGTCTAATATTGTATGAACGTAGGATATGCTGATTTGTGGATACCAACCAGAGTTGATGGCTTAGCCCAGTTTCTTGCACTAGCGTGGCACCCTGAACCTTAACTGAACCGCATGGGCTGGGTTTATAAACTGGGCGGAGTTCATTTCTGCTGGGACTTGGTCGACCTTCCAACTAGCCTATTTCCATCCAACTTCTAACTGGATCCAGCCCTGCTGAGCTTCTTGAAAAGAGGCAGGTTTGGTCAGAGGCTGCCCCCGGCTCAGGTACAGAGGACTTGGCCCCACAATGTACAGCTGCCAAGGCTGAGTGAGGATTTGAATCTGGGTTCCCTAACCTCCTAATCCCAGTTAGTGTGGGGGCAGAAGGACAAATCCTGTAGGATCAAGTACAGGAGATAGGCCAGCCTCCCAACAGAGGGTCTGGCAAGCGAAGAGGGCAGAAGCAGCCACAGAACTGCCCTTCTTGGAAAAACTGAAGGGAAAGAGCCTGAGGATGGGGAAAAATAGGCACGTAGGAGAGCGACTGCCATGAAATACTGAGGATTCATATGACGTGTGTACAGAGAAAAAATAGTGGGAAATAGTCAAAGCAAGAAACGGGCAGGGAAACTGCTGAGTGATTTCAGTGGAAATAAAAAGACATAGTTTGGAGGGGGGTGAAGAAAGCTGAGGACTGTCCCCCGATCCAGATCCAGATCGAAAGATGGCCAGGGTGAACGCACAAACTACAGGCGGGTTAAGTGTGTCTAGGAAGGGGTTTGGCAGAATTCAGGTCAAAAGGGCTCGGGGTGGGTCGGGGGAGGGAAATGAGCAGAATCGGGGAGTGCAGCATGACTTGATGCCAGGCAGGGGGGAGCAGGCTCCTCAGTAGGTGATGGAGAAATACATGAGTGCTATACTGCTGATAGTTTAGAGAAATCGTATGATCCAACAAATAGGCTTGAAAGATGGGAAGTTTGTGGGACTAGAGTTGAAGGTTGGTTGTGTACAATGGAAGGCAAACACAGATGAAAATAAATGAGCAAATGATTTAGCAGGAAATAAGGCAAGAGTGTGCAATGTCCCCTTGGTTTAATGTATCATAGATAAATGTTAAGGAATGATTGTGATGTTGGAGGTGTGATGTTTGGGGATGTGTATGTGCGTGGACTTTTGTGTGGAGTTCTTTTTGGCAGGGAAAGTGGAGTGAATGATTGCAGGATATTCATAAATGTTCATCAGAACAAGTAGATGGTTTTGTAATATTTATTTATTTATTTATTATAACTCAATAAATAACTTTTGTGCTTTGGCAGAATGTTTACTGAAAATGGAGGATGGATGAAAAAAATTAAAATGGGCAAAGGGTGTTAGGTGGTGTGTAGCGTGTGGTTTGTTGCGAGGAATCAGCATCTGTTGAAAGAAGCAAAAATAGTTGTGCAAAAGTCTGTTTTTGTCCACTTTGTTCTATGGAAGAGAGAGTTTGGTATGTCAGGAGAAACACTAAAGTTGAATGCAGTGGACGTAGAAAATTTAGGAAGTATAAAACAAGAAGAGGTGACATTAAGAATGAATGGGTGCTGAATGAATGTGAACCAAATGCTGTGCTGCTGTTAGATGGATAACAGCTGGTAGAACAGTCACATCCAGTCAGTGTACATCACTGGTTCTGGGTCAAACCAGGGGAAAGAACAAGTGAAGATTGCTGGGTTTGTTTTTAGGCCTTTTGTTATTCAGTATACTTATAAATGACTTGAAGGAGGAACTAGAAAATATTTTTATCAGATAACAGAATAGCAAACACTTTAGAAGAAATTATTTACAAACTGGAGTCCTTTCAAATCACCTCTCTGAGCTTGGTGATTTGGTTGCAGACATTTCATTACCTGACTAGGTAACGTCATCAGTGCGAGTGTGGGGTTTGCTCCGTTTATATACAGTAGCACTGATGATGTTAGCTAGTCGGGTAACAAAACATCTGGAAGCAAATCTTGCAAACCAAGCTCAGAGAGCATCAAGGACTCCACAGTTCAACCCTGAGCTACAGATATGCATGTGGGTAGAAAAAATGAAAGCATCTGCAGAGGTTGGCAGGGAACCACATCAGGCAGAAAGACACGCCAGAAGGATCTGGGTGTCCTGGTGGATCGCAAGGTGAATGTGAGCCCAGAGAGCAGTGCAGCTGCCCAAAAAGCAAACATAATCTTAGCTGGCATTGTCCTTGTTTAGTGACTGCCTTGTTTAGGGATGATTTGCAGTTATAACAGTGATGAAAAAGTAACCCATCCTTGCGTTTATGACCTTCGCAGGTCCGTAAAACAAAGAAAAGCTGAAGTCGGATCATAAGCGCAGGGATGGTTTCACTTAGCAACCACTTCACTTAGTGACCAAATTGCCTGTCCTGATTGTGGTCGCTAAAGGAGGACGAAATGTAGAGCGTGAAGACTGTCATTCCTCTTCTGGGTTGGACAGGCGGCACCTAGAATATTGTGCCTGGTACCGGATACACGTTTTAGGAAGCACGTGGGCACGCCGACCCCGCCCGGGGGAGACCAACCGAAACGGGAAGGGGCCTGCGGGGAAAAGCTCAGCAGCAGCAGCAGCAGCCGGGGCGACGACGGCGGGGAGGGGCGGGGCTGCCGTGCGGTCTCGTGGAAGGAGGGGCGGAACTCCACGGGGGGAACAAGGAGCGAGGCGCTGCTCGAGGCTGGGGGCGGCTTCCTCGGGCGGCGGGGAACGACCCTATCCCCGCGGGGCCCTGGCAGGGGTGGGGCCGGACGACCGCCAAGCCCCTCCGGCCCACCTCGGGAGGGCCGGGCTTCCAGGTTCGAGGAGTTCAAAAGCGGCGCCGGCGCACGAAGGCCGCCCCGGCCCCGAGCGAGCCGCGGCTCTCCCGCAACGGGGCTTCACCTGTCCGTGCGCGTGCAAGCCAGTAAGGGCCGCGGTTTCATTCCTTGCAATTACACGTAGGGGGAGCCGCGTCGCCCCCGCCGAGACGCCGTAGAAGGCGGGGCTAGAGCGGACCCTCGGGCTCGGCCGGCTACAGAGAGTGAGGGAGAGAGCGTTACCAGCAATCGGCCTATGCTGCTAGGCTCGACGGAAGTAGCCCTGCCGAGGAAAGTTCAAACGCCGCCGCCTACAGAAAACCGGCCGTTCGGCGTCTTTGGGCCACGCCTTCCAACGGAGGCAGCTTGAGGGGCTCGTGCCCCAATCCTTCAGGGGGACGGTAGTCGGGGATGCTTGCCGTCCGTCAGGCTTCATCGGACGCGCCAACTTCCGGTGGCGTG